CTAATTTACATACATACATACTTCCTTCCTTCCTTACTTACGCTTGTTACTCTCAATGGAGTGTAGGCCACCGACTAACATTCTCCAACCCACTCTGTCGTAGGCTTTCGTTTATGTAGTTCTATCTAATTGTTGTTCATTCTTTTTCATATCTGTTTTCAATTCTTGGGCGTAATATGTTCTTTGGTCTTCCTTTTTCTTCTTTGACTTTAAAGATTCCATGTGAGGGCTTAACTTGTAACTCACTTAGATTAATTACTGTATATCTGAAGGGGTTCTGTGGAGATTTAATATTTTCATAGTTGAAAGTGATAGTCAATAGGACGAAATGGCCGTCCAGTGCTTCCAGGTTTTCCTTGGTGGTTTAGCTTCAATTGACTAACGCTGTTTATTTTCACTAATTAATAATAATATAACTAATAATGTATAAATGTATATGCTTATCAGAATCTTCGTCGTTTCATACTTCATTTCATTCAAAAAGCTTAAGATCATTCATCGTTTATAACATGAACTGAAACTGGAGAGAGTGAAGACTTAAAGGAGATAGAATATCGTTGTAGAATATGAAAACTATACATTAAATACATTATTTGCACATCTCCGAAGAGTAGTCTCTTGTAAAATCTATCTTTCCTTTATTCCTGTTTTTCATATTACAATTACTCTCTATTTACACTACTGTTCTCTGTTATTCGATCTTCTCAATCTTCTTCAGATATACGTTCCACTTCTGACTGGTATCACATACTACTTAAGTCTGTAGGTATAAGGAGCATGCAACACATATTTGTACACCTCAGGCAGAGCTAGGATATACAACTGCCTCACTCCATCGTTTCATTCGACCAGTAGGGTGAACCCTGGTTCACCAATCTCACCATCCCTCTTCAAATATGTCAACTATGACGTTCTGAAAACAGCACTGATGGATGTAGATAACGGCCGTATGGATCTGTTGACTGGAAAAGGACTTTTCGACTTTGAGTATGTGAATGGTATTGTCTTATTGTGTGATGATACTCAAGTCATTGAATCCACACTTGGTCATTTGGCATTTAGAGTCATTAGGTATGGGTCGTGTTTTGCATGTGTACAAAGTACTTTTAGAAGAATGACAGAACTCTGCCATTAGCAGCATACACCACAATACTACCTTAACAATAGTTGAAAACCAAGGGGTGCTCGATAGATGTTTCACCCCATTATGAGGCTCCTCAGTTGTAAGTGTGTGTTCACAATTATACATGGGGATTGAACCCAGGGCTAGTACTCATTGTGAGACTTGAAGGTTAATAGAAACTGATCAGTCATAGCCTGTTCACATTAGCCTTGGTTCCTGAAATGTTTAAAATCAATGAAAACATTTATTATTTAACTAAAAAGTGAATTTTAGATGGTGCTTAAGTTAAATTACAAAACATACCTGTTTCTGAAGTAGACTGCGTGTTAAAGTAGTTGATATGGTTCATTGAGTAACCAAGAGTGTTTAGTGAAGCTATGCACTATTCTCACTTTCTTACTTTCACTGACAATCCCAACCCTTAATTTTCCCAATTTTATAAACAGGAAAGTGAAATGACATTGCATTGTAACTGATGTAGCTGTTTTTGCACCTTTTGGGTAGACTCATCCATTCTTTCTTTCTTTTTAAACTTAATAATAACTGTGCAATAATTCTTCGTAGCTTTCGTAATCAGTTGGGGGTATAGGTAAAGTGATTGATTAGACCGATCTCCACCACCCGGGTTACCGCTCACGTTAATTCATGGGAACAGTCCTATTATCCAGGAGGCCTTGTGAGTCAGATTTCGCCTCCCGAGATTCATCCATCCATATGCTTAAATAGCATTTTTGGCATTATAGATGATGTCATTTTGTGATGAAAACCCTATCTCTAATTCTTAATCTTAACGTTCATAAATTATAGTGTAACCATGAAAGCATTTATTTATATGATAAAATATACTCTACATTACTATTGTAAAATCATAACTTCACTTGAAAAACAACTGGGTCTTTTACGAACGTAACACCAAAACAACTTGTTGATACTTGGTAAAATGAAAGTTAGTAACGAATTATAACGTGGATGTACTAAAATGACTAAAATGTTTTGTCAGTATGTAGTTGTGGATATTAAGTATTTGATCGAGATGATGAATCGATTGATGTTAGACCACCATTGGAAACCTGGAAGCACTAGACGGCCGTCTCATTCTCAGCAGTGCGCATCCACGATTCCGCTCGTGGGATTCGAACCCAGAATATTCGGTCTCGCGTGCGAACGTGAGGTAATAAAGGTGAGAAATAAATGAAGTGATATCAGGGACAATTATGAATAAAATAATGAGAATATGAGACATAAGTAAAGGGAGAAATGCTGTAATAGTATTAATAACAATAATAATAATAGAGGTCAAGGTAACGATAACGATGGAACATACTTCTTTTATACACATAGCTCTGGCTTGAGTTCATGGATGGTAAGATCTTCGGCTAATTTTAGGATTTGGATACGAAGAAATTTAAATAAATTTGAACAAATCGTATATACAACCTTAAAATTAAACTGTGGATCAGTAGAATGATTACAGTCGATTAGATGTTCAAGTATGGAACTTCTAACTGCTCTCCGCTTACCCTTGTAGAACCACACTGAGACATGTTCCCGTATTCCAGTTTAAAGTGAACTCTGTCCTACGGCGAATGTACCTTGCTTCACAAAAGCAAATGAACTGGTAAATGCACATGGAAGTGACCAGACGGGGAAGTTTATCTTTTATGGATACAAAAAACAAGCTCCTATTAGTGAATGTTATTCGCAGTTTCGCCATATAGAATGTTCTTTCTATTACTGTCATTAAACGATTTTTGATTACATCAGATAATTCAATCAGCTTTAATGTTTAAATGAGAATTACTTATTTATATTAGAAGAGGTTTTGTGGATAATATATTAATTCCAATAGTTGAGATCATGAATCAATTGAAACTAGACAACCATGGAAAACTTGGAAGCACTGTATGGGCGTTTCGTCCTATTGTAGGATTCTTCAGCAGTTTGAATCCACGATCCCGTCTCACGGGATTCGAACCCAGGACCTATCAATCTCGCACGCGAGTGCTTAGCTACCAGACCACTAAGCCTATTAGTTGAGCAATGTATAAAATATATAACTCAAATATACACATTCACTTAGTATTGTTTGTTTGAATCTTCCCATTGATGTTTAGGACTGCAGTTGATCAGTCTCTAATTGGCATATGTGCATACTGTGAGTATTGCCTCGATATTGCCTTAATTCACAAGGATTATAAGTAAAGATGAATAGTGGCTAGCAGTGAAATCCAGGATGCGCGCCAATTCCTCCTATTTGGGACCCATCAGCTGGATGTACCCGCATCTCAGAGATGATATTCACTCCGGGACTCGAACCCAGTACCTTTCGCTTCAAACGCCATCGCGTTATATATATATATATATATATAACAAAATAATTAACATAGGTAAATCATATGCTCACTAGTGACTGACTTAAAGATACATGTCCTGGAGTTCTAGTGAAAAGCAGTGACCAGTGGAGTTTAAACCACTTCTATCGTGAGATATCAACTCACTGAAGACAATTGGTGAACGGTTACTCAACTTCATGGATTGGTTGAAGTTAGACATTAACATCATCGGATGCCGGCTCAGTGATCAATCGGTTAGGGGCAGTGGCTTGAGACTTGTAGATCCTGGGTTCGAATCTTGCGAGTGCGGGATCGTGGATGCGCACTGCCATTGAGGAGTCCTATTATAGGACGAAACTGCCATCTGGTGCTTCAAAGTTTTCCATAGTGGTCTAGGTTCAATTGACTCACGCTTTCAATTATAATATAGGTAAAGTCAACAATTTTTCTCTCCTTCAATTAGTCAGGTTAGAGTCATTTTTTTAACAATCCAACCCAATTGGTATTCTATTATTAGTAAAACATTATTTTCCACCAATAATAAATTCAATAAGGATAGAGAGATTGGAAAATTTCCCTACATAACAAAAATAACTTAATCATCATCTATATTGTACTCGTTTATATATATTCAATTCAAACCATAGACCTATCCTAGATACAGGACTTTTCTAGTCTAGTCTTTATTTTTGTGAATAAACGACCAATAGCATTATGATTGTGAAGTTGTCATTTCAAGGTCACTTGATGAAAGAACAATATTTACGAATTCTAATTGGTGCATCGTAAACTATTCAAGGTCAACACATGTGACATGTTTAAAAAGCGCGTACTATTATTATTATTATTATCATTATTACTGGTTAGACAAATACACAGATGGTATTTACGCAGTATTGACTATAGTACATTCTAAACAAAACATAATATAATGTTATTGGATATGAATACAAAGTGTTGATTACTCATTCGAAAAATGAAATAATCTTCTACTATGACCAATTTTATGCAAGGTAAGTAGTTTGATCGTGTATTATTTTGGTAATGTCATAATAAGAATGAAGTTTTATAGAACTACATAGTTTATTGTATCACTTAATAAGTATTTACCTATTGTATATAGCCTCTGACAAGGAAGTCCTACTCACTGCCTTCTCAATGCGCCGAGGTGTTGTTCACGAAATTGAGAGAACGAAAAGTAAATGTCCGGTGATTTACCCGAGTTAGTGGAAAAAGAAAGTTCACTTAGGGAAGTTGGAAAACCCTGATTCCAAACCAATGGTGAACATGGGCTGGCTCCAGTATCCTGATGGAAAAAGTGGCGTATGAACCAATTGTTGGTGATCGGCTATCATGGGACTGCATCTCCTCACAATGCTCCACTGCCTTGTGGATCAGACCTTTAGGTCAAAGGTTCCGGGTGTGGCCCCTAAGAAAACCACCTGCTTCATTTTGGGCACCAGGGTAATGTCACAGCCCTCATGCAAATCGAATGAGATTTGTGGGGAACATATATATCTGGTGCTTCCTTGTACCAATATTTATGTGTTTAAATAAATAAATAATAAATCTACTATTGTAACACTCTTAATAATGAATTCATTTCAATTACATCTTATATCATTCAACTTGTTTTCATATGAAGACTGTTAAAACTTGAAATGTTCTCAAATGGATAATAAATCAACTGGTTAGATTGATTAAACTCCTGTAGTTCTTCGAGAGTTACTGCCGGTCTCAAGCTCGGGTAAAGCAGAAGGGTTGGGTATCAGATCGGCAATCCTATCCCGTAGAAAAAAAATCTTGTTAAGGAGAAACACCAACCAGATTAAACAAATTAAGTAAGATCGATTACGGATTGAATTATCTCATTCTACTATCCAGATTCTCCCATTTATGTAAGCTAATGATGATACTTAGTTCACTTAAACAAAAGTAAATGAACCAAGGATTCATGTAGGGGATATATTTGTAAAATGTAGTAATGTTATAAAGGACAAAAAAATTTTCATTACTTATTCAGTGATATATGAATATCATCATCATCATCCGAATCATCATCATCATCATCATCCAAATCATCATCATCATCATCATCCAAATCATCATCATCATCATCATCATCATCATCATCATCATCCTCTTCATCATCATCATCATCATCATCATCATCATCATCATCATCATCATCATCATCATCATCATCATCATCATCATCATCATCATCATCATCATCATCATCATCATCATCATCATCATCATCATCATCAAAATCATCTTCATCCTCCTCACATAACTAATCATAACTATATTCTTCATCATCATCATCATCTTAATAGATCAACTTATTTGTAAAATGTTGATAGTGAGACTATAATTTATGGACGACCTTTGTACGATGGTAAAGTGACCTTGAGAATGTCCACCTACTAACCGGAACTAAGTGAAGGTTACCAACCCTGTGTGAAGAATAAAGATTATGATTTACAGATGATGGTTAGGTTAGAGAATTAGATTTATAGTTTACATCACAAACTAACATCAGCTGAAGTGTCAAAATACTCTTTACCCGAATGGATGAATAAATTTCGTGCCTAAATCCAAGATCTGTTATCCTAAATCTGATTGTTTCCTTCGTAAATTATAGTCATATCATATTGATTATATTAGTGTATAGGCTCAAAATCTTTGGACTTCAGATTGATTTAGTAACTGATTGTCATTCAATCAAATTCATTTCTAATAATCTACACAATTATAATCAAACCATATTTACTTAGTATTATTTGTTTGAATCCTCCCATCGATGTGTTAGGACTGTAACTGGTCAGTCTCTTATTGGCATACTGTGCGTATTGCCTCGATATAGCCTTAATTCACAAGCATTATAAGCAAAGATGGATAGTGGTTAGCAGTTGAATCCAGTTTGACGCTCGTTTCTTCCTATTTGGGACTCGTCAGCTGGATGTATCTGCATCTCAGGTATAACCATTCTAATGTTAATGCAAGTACTTATGTATCTAGTTGACATAATTACATTAATCAATAACCTTCATAAAAGTTGGTTCATATATCTCTTTAGTGTTTTGTTTGTTGTTGTAAATAATCATAGAAAATATAGACTAGATAGAATGTGTCCAACATTGAAATCTTGGACTCATGTTTTGTCCTATTTGGGACTCATCAATTGAATGTGACTACATCACCTTGTTCTCAAATTTAGTACTGTTTAATTCAAACCTCATCATGTTATCCACTTAGCTATTGAATCTAAGTATTTAATGGTTTAGTTTGTTTAATCTGGTTGGCGTTTTTTTTAAACAATATTTTTCTTCTACGGGAAAGGGTTACCGACCTCATTCCTAACCCTCCTTCTCTACTTGAGCTTAGTATCCTTAGTAACTCTAGAAGAGCTACAGATGAAATTATTGAATCTAAGTAACTACTAATTTGTAGAACAGGTATTTAATTTAAAATATTAGCCATATTCTATCTAGTCTATATATGAACTTATATCATAATGGTTATACAGGAGAGATTCTCACAAGATTAATTTGTTTAAAAGGTATAACAGGTTGGTGATAGTGAGGTTAGTCGTAGGGTGTTAGGGAATGATAATGATAAATCAGTTGATGAGATTGTGAATCTTCATTGATTGAGATGCTTTGGTCATGTATTACGCACTTCCAAATACCGATTACCACGAAACGAAATGGTGACTAGTGTTGGAGACAGTTGGAAGAAAGTTACAGGCCACCGAATCCAAGCGTGAATTTGGAAAATCGTGGTTCCAAACCAATGGTGCACATGGTCTCTAGGTTGCTGAGGGAACAAATGATGTATGAACCTATTGTCGGTCACTGACTACCATGTGACTGCATCTTCTTATATTGCTCCACCTTTAGGCCAAAGGCTTGAAGAGTAGCCTCCTAACAGAACCACGTGCTTCTGTACTGGCACACGGAAAGAATCACAGCCATCAAATAAATGGAATGATTTATGTGGCGCATATGTGTTTGGTTCCTCCTTGTACTGATGTTTTTGTGTGTAAATAAATAAATAATAATTTACTAATCACCAAAATTTTATTTAAAATAAATTTAATAGTTGAATTCATCAGTCGACTGAAGCTAGACCACCATGAAAAACCTGGAAACACTGGACAGCTGTTTTGCTTTAGTATGGGACTCCTCTGTAGTGCACATCCACAATTCCGCTTGCAGGACTCAAATCCAGAACCTCCGATCTCGTGGGCGAACACTTAACCTCTAGATCACTGAAACGGCATCCAACAGTGTTTATGTCTACTTACAACTAATCCACAATACATTCTTCTTAACCATATATTGTACAATGATGATTTGGTGATTAAAACATCTCCTATAGGCTTTTAAACAGTTTTCTATAGTCATCCGCTTTCTTAAGTATATAAGCAACAAAGGTATCGGTATTTCTGGTGTTTCGCAACTTGATATAAGCCACTTCTTCAATGTAAATAAATAAATGACATTCAACTAATACAAGTTCCATTGTATTATTCAAACTTGTGTTAAGTTACTTTGGTTATTATGTTTAATCTGAAGAAGTGGTTTATATTAACTTACGAAACGGCAGAAATACATTTCCCTTACTTATTGGGATATAACCAAATAAATATATTTATTATGATTTCAAATTAGTCATATTAACTAAGATGTAATATGATCTAGACATAAGAGTAGCTTTCATGGAGATAAATATATGTAATGATTTAGTATAACTAAAATGTGATTTTCCTTTCTATAGTAAACTTCTACCGGAAGTTTGTGCTGATGATGTCGTTCAGAAGAATGACGAAAGCTCCACAGCCAAACCATCCAGCTCAGAGAACAAACACACATCAAAATCACCTACCTGAGCTACAAATCTTCTCCACCATCTTATAATAAACAATTTCATCTTTTAAATTCACTTGGTATTGTTTATTTGAATCTTCCCATTGATGCTTTAGGACTACAACTGGTCAGTCTCTTATTGGTATATGTGCATACTGTGAGTATTGCCTCGATATAGCCTAAATTCACAGGCATTATAAGCAAAGATGCATAGTGACTATCTGAGTGGATAACATGTTGGCGTTTAAAGCGAAAGGTACTGGGTTTGAGTTCCAGAGTGAACATCATTATTTATTTAAACACATAAATATTGGTACAAGGGAGCACCAAATACATATGCTCCACACAAGTCACTTAATTTGTATATGGGCTATGATACTGTTCAGGCGTCCACACTGAAGCAGGTGGTCTCTTTAGGGGTCTACACCCTCAGGCTTCTAACTAAAGATGGAGCATCGTAAGGAGATGCAGTCCCATGGTAGTCGGTGACCGACAATATGTTCATACATCATCTGTTTCCTCAGCAACCTAGAGCCTATATACTGCATTGATTTGGAATCATGATTTTTTAAATCCTCTAGGTGGACCCTCCGTATCCATCAACCCAGTTAAAGCACCGAATATTCACTTTTTGTTCTCTCAATTCTGTAAACAACAATAATGCCGCGATGAGGCAGTGAGTAGGACTTCCCTGGTAGTGTCTGTATAAGCGTGACCATGTGAGAGCATATGCAGGGGGGAGAGCTGACTCTTCCCACTCTCGGACGTATCAGGGCATTTGGGAGTTAATAAGAAGTTAATAGGGAAATCATTTCTTTATTATTATTACATTCATTGTATATAGTTGAGATCATGAGTTAATTGAAGCTAGACCACCATGAAAAACCTGGAAGCACTGGACTGCCATTTCGTCCTATTGTGGGATTCCTCAGTGGCAGTACGCATGTGACACCTTGAACTGAAACATTCATTTATGACCAGATCCTACAGTTATCTCTATGACTGATATCATATATAAGGATAAGATTATAGTATGTTAAGTCTTTGTGATAGCTTAGTATAATTAATAAGTTCAACTCTTATAGAATCTATTCAGCCTTAAAGTTCTGTTGATATTTTGATACAGGTCATTTTTAAGTTGACATTTTCTGAGATGCAGTTATTCATCGTAAAAGCTTACTGAGTGGACCAATCAACAAGAATATCATTGAAGGGTTCTACTCATTGGAATGTATTCTCAGAGGAAATTTTTTAAATGGAACATGATAAAATACATATCTAGTATGTATATTCATCTGTTCAAGCTGCCATAACATATTGGTAGCTTAGACATATTCTACAAATATCGTTCAAGAGAATTCCATGTCCTGAATTATTTGCCTACACTGGAACTGGTTGAAAAAATCGGAAAGGTGGTCAGTGTATGACATGGTGTTGTGGTATGGAAGAAAACTGTACTGGACTGGCTTCTGTTGGTCCTTCACGACTCCCTGATTGGGTTCCTAGGAATGGTGCAGCACGGTGGCTAGAGACATTATCAGAGACACCTGAGAATAGAAACCAGGGGCGACACCATCGGAAGCCGGCTCAGTGGTCTATGGGTTAAGTGCTCTGGTGCGAGACTGGTAGGTCCTGGGTTCGAGTCTTGTGAGGCCAGGTCGTGGGTGCGCACTGTTGAGGAGTCCTGCGGTAGGACGAAACGGCCATCCATTGCTTTCAGGTTTTCCTTAGTGGTCTAGCTTCAACTGACTAATGCTTTCAACTAACCTTTATTATTATTATATTCAGTCTAAATAAGATACGTATGCAATGTAGTAATACAACTAATACTGAATCAAATAAGCATTCCATATAATGGATACCTGAGTCCCCTTCCTCCTCATCTAATATATATGTACTGGTACATATGTACATAGTTCATCAACAACAACAGAAACAACACCAGACTACTTTAATAACTTCCGGTCTGATTGATACGTTTACTTATGTATGTATACAATGAATTCGATGAATGTAATTTGCATTTCCGAAAAAAATACCTTAGTAAAATTAACTGATTGACTGGTAATATTACTGTGACTATAACTACTATTACTACTACTACTGCTACCACTACCACTACCAATACTACTACTACCACTAATACCACTACTAATGATAAGTTTATATGTACATATAATTACGATAATTAGTCAGGCAATCTTGCTAGACTAATGGTAAGAGAGAGAGAGAGAGAGCGAAATGTGTATGTTGACTATGTGGCTGTGTATGTACGGAATATGTTGACCATGTTCAACTTGTGTTAAGACTGTAAATCTGAAGTTTACCACTATGATACTTTTAATACTAATGATAGAAGTAACTGATAAAATGGGAAACTGTTTTTTAAGGGCTGTCAACTACTAGAATAAAAGCACAATAT